TATGCCAAGAATCTTTCAACGGGTGTCGTGACCCAGATCGAAACATAGCAAGAATCTTTCAGGGGAAACAGTAAGGAAACAACTAGCAGATGGCCTGGCCAGGATTAATTAGAGCCATCTCCCCGGCAAGTACAAGGTATGGAGCTATCAGCTCATACTGTACCCAAGGGTGATGTGGCCTCTGAAGATGAGCGAAGTCCCCTCAGGACAGGCTGGCAAACTCGTTTATTAAGAAGTGGCTGGAACTGCCGAGATGCATCTCAGATGTAGGCCTCTGCCGCTACAATCCATTGGCCTAGGTTACAAACAGGAGAAGGTCCGGATGGTGCTGGAGCTGAGGGATTCCACTGATCAACTGGTGAGAGCAGCTGGCCCCAAGGTACGAACAGGGAGGAAGTGGAAAGCACAGGAGGAGGTGGACATAGTGATCAGCAGGCTGAAACATCGTGAGGTAGTTGGCAGTGTCTAGGAGGGCCGAGCAGGCGTAGGATGGAGCAAGACTCCCCTCTTCTGGTCAAAGGCCTCTAAAGAAGAGCGGAAAGCCATGGTGGTGGCAGAAGTGACAAGGACCGAGCTGGGACACATTAACATCAAGGCAGTGTCTCAAAACCAACAGGGAGGCTGGTTGTCTTGAGAAGGCATCACAAACAGGCCCCTGTCGTGGTCAGATCTGTGGAAGATCCCCCAGGCCAGACTCAGCTTCCTGATCAGGTCTTCCTACAACACCCTGCCTTGTCTCAGAAATCTCCACCTGTGGTTTGGTGCGGAAGAGCCCTGTGCCCTGTGCAGCACCAGCAATGCAAGCCTCCAGCACATCCTGTCGGGCTGCAAGACTGCTTTGTCCCAAGGCCGCTACAGGTGGTGCTACGACGATTCCTTTTTTTTTTTTTTGTTTAATTCTGTCACACCCACAACTCAACAAAAAATGTATATGTGTAGGAAACTTTTCTATTACGAAAGAATAAAACAGTTTTTTCTATATTCTATTAGTCTATGATAGTTATAGCGGTGGTAAAACAAAAAAATGTGGTGTACGTTAGCTCTGCAGTACAGCGTTACACTGACATCTAGTGGAGCTTTTGAATATTATGCAATGTATTGTCAAATTGTATAGCTAGGTGATGGACGGACGGAAGAAGGAAAGAAAGCAAGTAAGAAAGAACGAAAGGAAGAATTCTTTACAAATAGCTAGACGATGGCTTAAATAACATTATTTAAAGTAAGGTAAAAAAACAGAGAATCGGTCAAAACAAAATTAGATTAACTTAGATTCAATTATGGGCAACCTGGTAAAACATTGTTAGAAGTTTTTTTTTGTTTTAAAGTTTACTGAAATTATCCAGTTTAAATGTATTTAACTGGGGCAAAAGTGGTTATTTAGCCTTTTTAAAGTGAAAGACTGGTTTTCATATGTTTTGTTTTGTTGTGTGTTGTTTTACAGGAGCTGTCAGAGTATGACCAGCCTGTTCAGTAACACCATGTCTCCTGCCAAAGATGGAAGCTCATCTCTGCCTCGATGCTCCAGCAGCCTCGGCAAGCCTCCACTTCGGGCGCTGTACGATCTGCTCATTGCACCGATGGAGGGGGTGAGTGAGTAAAAGTGTCTGTGAATGTGGACTAAAAAACAACAACAATAATCTTAAGCATAAAATAATAATAATGATAATAATAATGTGCTTGTGTACTAGGGTCTGATGCACTCCAGCGGACCAGTGGGTCAACACAGACAACTAGTGATGGTGCTGGAAGGAGAACTTTACCTCATTCCTTTTGCTCTATTGAAAGGAAGCTCCTCTAACGAGTACCTGCACGAGCGCTTCAGCCTCATTGCTGTTCCCTCCATCCATGGCCTTGAATCCAATGCAAAGGTCTTTTCAGTGATGAGCAGTGTTAGATCTACATTCTTCATTCCAGTAACAATTAAAAATACTGATCCACGGAAAATCCTAAATTCATTTAAAATTAATCCTAAAACTCAAATTGTAGTGATGTAAAATGTAACCCTTTCTATGATCTTACAGGAACAGCCTCGACGCCCAAGTCCTACTCCTTGTGGTGGCGTCTCCATGGCAGCAGTGGTGGGAAACCCTCAACTGCCATCTCTTGTGATGGACCGCTGGCTGTGGAGACCTATGCCCTCTGCAGAGGAGGAGGCTCTGATGGTGGCTGAACTCCTGGGGTGTCAACCTTTAGCTGGTTCTTCTGCCACCAAGGAGAGAGTGTTGAGTGCTCTCACACTGGCTGAGTGTGCTCACTTCGCAACCCACATTTCCTGGAAGTTAGCCGCTCTGGTGCTTACCCCAAACCCAGACAATGTGCCTGGTGGTGCAGGTGCCAGTATGTGTGTTATAACCATGGAGCGGGGTGGAGGCAGTCGGAGGGGCAGTAGCAGTCGTGGCAGAAATGGCTCGACTGGAAGTAGCTACACCATCCCAGTGTCTTTGCACATGCAGGATGACAGCAGTGACATGGAGAACATCTATGACAGTCCACCTCTCCAGGAGTTCCTCCTCACCGCTGCTGACATTTTGGACCTGAGGCTGCCCGTCAAACTGGTAGTGCTGGGGTAAGAAGGACAGAGCAAAACAGTTTTTAAAAAAGTTTTTATTGGCGCCAATGTTTTGGTGTTGGTTTGGTGAAAAATCCAAATTTGACACAACCGCTAAAGAACTGAAACAGTTTACTAAACAGAATTTGTTTATGGAAAAAATGCTGATATTTTGAAACCAATCTGGGGAGAGGGTTACCAGTAACATCAAACGATTTCTCCCAGCTTTTAATCCACATCAACAAAAATTTGAGAAAACTGGGAGAGGAAAAAAAATTAAACAGATAAGTCTCTACATATTACATGGATAACTGGAATTTGCACCATTGTCAATACACCTTAAGAAAATGATGGTTATGTTGGACAGATATGAAACAAACATATACTCATTCTAGCCTGTGTATATCTGCGTGTTTGTGTTCAGTTCATACCAGGAGTCCAGCAGTAAGGTTACTGCAGATGGCGTCGTTGGACTGACCCGAGCCTTCCTGGCTGCAGGAGCTCAGTGTGTCCTTGTTTCCCTGTGGCCTGTTCCCGTGGCTGCCTCAAAGATTTTTGTACATGCCTTCTACACTGCCCTGCTCAACGGAACAAAGGCCAGCGTTGCGTTGGCCGATGCTATGAAGACAGTTCAAAGCAGCAAACAGTATTCACATCCATCTAATTGGGCAGGTTAGTGACACTTGGTTTGACTGTAATTTAAAATTTTCTATATTGGATCTCTTTCTAATTGTGTTTTTTTTTCTGATCAGGGTACATGTTGATAGGAAATGATGTGAAACTCAACAGTCCATCCTCCCTCATTGGTCAAGCTTTAGCAGAAATTCTTCAGTATCCAGATCGAGCCCGAGATGCCCTGAGAGTTTTACTCCACCTGGTGAGGAAGTAACCAACGCCCATACACACAATAGACAGATTTAGGATCCATTGGTTCACAGTCTGTTAAGAATATGTCAGCAAACTATACTCTACAAATTACTCTACATCATTTATTTAATCTGATTTTGACAACTTTAGTGAAAATGAATCAAAGCTTATTTCCTGTCTGACTTTCCTGACACAAAAATACTGATGCTGCTCTACATCATTCTCCATTTTGCTCCTTACAGGTGGAGAAGTCACTACAGAGGATACAGAATGGCCAGCTTAACTCCATGTACACGTCCCAGCAGAGTGTGAAGAACAAGGTAGGGGGCGTCCCAGGCTGGCAGGCACTGTTGACGGCTGTGGGTTTCCGTCTGGACTCCGCAGGAACAGGGATGCCTTCTGCTGTCTTTTTTCCCACTGCAGACCCAGGAGACAGGCTTCAGCAGTGCAGCACCACTTTACAATCACTGCTGGGTATGTTCATTAGACTGGGCCTAAGTTTGAACGTCATACCTAACCTTTCTGCTGTTGTGTTCATAACATTAACTGGTCCAACTGTGTTGAAGGGCCAGTCAAAAAATGTGGCTCCAAATCCATCTTTAGAAACTATCAAAGTCTGCTGAGACATTATTTCTCAATATCTTGGAGCCATATATAAAACAGAAGCTGTATATCGAAAGAAGAAAAAGGGTGATTAAATATATATGCACAGGAAGTTATCCTCACGTCGCTAGTTTCCGTGCAGTTTAGTTCAGGTTTTCACTAATGATGATCTCAGATTTAATGGCTTGTTATGATCCCCTTTGTAGGTCTGCCACCACCAGCTTTGCAGGCCTTGTGCAAACTCATCACAGCGTCAGAGGCAGGAGAGCAACTCATTAACCGGGTAAGACCCTACAGTTTAGACTGATTGTAGCTGAATTTTGAATTGAATAAGATAATGCATAACGAATAACAGAAAACAACTTCAGTGACACAGTCACAGGCGGTGCATTGCAACGACATGACATTCGTAGGTTCCCCTATTATGCCACAGAGGTTAGGGTTATGCAAGGATACATCTTTGCATAATTTTGCTGCTTATCTTCATAAAATGCTGCATGTTAGCACTAGCCTGTAGTCCTAGTACAATGTCTCTGCTTCAACTGAATCCAGCTTTCTGGTTTCCAGACCAAACTCGTGACAGCAGGGCTGCAGAGGTTTATCCATGTTCCACATGTTTAAAGTGAAAACATTTGTACTTAGCTTATCAGTTGATGCTTTACTGCAAGTACTATGAATACTACTAAAGACAAATTAACCAGGTATTAATTAATAGTATTCTTTTAAGTTTTGATTATGTTCCTCTTTTGTCCTTCCTAAATGTGCTGTTTGTGCGTAATTCACGCCTGTTATCTCTCCGCCGTCTTCTAACATGCCTCTAAAGGCTGTTAAAAATGTGGTGGCAATGGTGAGTTCAAACTCCTCCCAGAACCTGCTGTTTCTCCCATCCAGCTGCTCTGCTTCATTTTCTGCTGGCTGTTCTGCAGAATTTTTCAAAACACATTATTATTTCTGTATTGTATACTGTATGTCCTTTCTGTGGTTGACTTAATGGGTCCTGTGTTTGAACGCTAATGGCTAATGGTTTGGGTCCTACATGGTTACTATGAACGGAGGCTTTATGTGGGACCCATGACAAACCTGCATACAAACCCATATTGGGTTGGTCCAACTTTTTTAACTAAATTGACTTAAAGAATGCTGGCTAGTATATATTTATCATAATGCCTTTTAAAAAAAACATTATTTTAACATAAAAAATAAAGATACTTATTATTTATTGTGAAGCACTAAACGTAATTATACTGTAATTGACCTGATTTTAATCTAGGTGCAAAAAGGAATTTTTTTGTTGGATATCGGCATCATTAATGCTGCAAAATTTCTTGACTTCAATTGAATTTAGGATTTCTGTATGTATATTTTATTCTTACCCTAAATGAAGGAAGATTGTTTGCCACTCAAACCTTTTTTTTAACTAAATATGAAACACTTATCTTGTATTTAACCTTTTATGGACACAATACTCTTCTAATCTTTTGAAGCTTTTCTAAAAGGTACATTTTTTGTGCAAAAAAAAACATGTTTGTGGTTTTCATTCTTGCAGACATCTTTTAAGCATGTAGGTGCAATGGGTCGAGTGCTGCTTAGGAGCACTCGGTGTTATCAACCAGTCTCAAATTAATAACACAACCAGTCTCATTAAAGTTATCTTTAATTATTATTTTAACCTACTAATATAGCAATAATGTATTACTTGAAGTATTACAAATATACTAAAATCAATAGTATCCAATAACAATTAAATATCTGAAGGATTTTGAGAGTTCTTGGCAAATTGGGTGGCTTCAATGAATAAAGTAACAACACAGACAAACACAGTTTACAAAAATAATCAAATTTATTTATACAACACTGTCAAGTTAATGACGGTGATTGAACTCATAAACAATGATCATTATAACAAAACAAGGCGTGTGTGTAGGGGTGTGTGTGTACTTATGTGCGTGTGTACACGAGTGGTCGTGTACGAGAGAGAGATGTTGCCTCTTAGCCACCAAGCAAGCGACTGAGCCCTTAAGGCGTGTTCACATACGCGACTGCGCAGTGGAAGAAGAACTGCGAGGTAGAAGGAACGGCAACAGGAAACACGTGAGGCGTGTATGCGCTCACGGAGGTGTGAATGGGTGTTGTGTACGCGCACCAAGATGCGCTCAGGTACAATGAAACAGTGCTTGTGATGTTATCAAAGTATATGGGGGAAGGGAGGCGTACCGCGTGGTCTACTCCAGACAAAGGACTTTGTCGGAGTTTTCCTGATCCCAATACTGATAACGTTCCAAGTTAACACTGAAATACTGACGGTGTACAAGAGTATAACACCGAGTCAGGAGGTTAGAAAAGAAGTGCATGCAACAGCCTAGCTATAAAAGCAGCACAGATTTCAGACAACAAAATTCAATATGCGTACTTAAACTGTCCCTAAGTTTAAATAGCACTTAACAATACTACAGATTAACTAACGTGCCCAAATGCCAGCCTTACTGTAGTGAACGTCTGCTCGTATTTAGAGGGTAGTGGAAAGTCCGTGCTTCTTGGGTCCTTGCCAGAGCTGGGGACGTCCGTCTGGTTCCACTGTGTCCAGAGAGTCCTCTTGGTTCCGAAAGTCCGTTTCAGGAGGAAAAGTCTCTGACTGTCGATGTGCCGGTTCACACGAATACCGTTAGAAGGAATCCTGTCGCTTCTAACTTTTCAATAACTGCTTTGGTCGCAGCGCTACGTTACTTGTGTAACTTAATTACCGGTTAACTCAGTTAAGAAAAAGACGCTACTAGTGCATTTATCACCGTGGGCAATGGTGTCTACAAAAGCGCGTTGGTTCTTAGTCTTCTGAGACGAGCAGGTTTTCTCTTTTCATCGAGGTCCTACGGAGCGAAAGTCCTGAACAGAGAGAACGATATTGGGCTGACCCCCCAATTTAAAGGTTGCGGAGGTTACTGATCGTGACGTATGTGGATTTACCGGAAGCAGTGGAATTATGGGAGTTCGAGTCCTTGAAAGGACTGTTGTAGTACCTACAAGCAGTTGTGAAGTTCATAATAGGTCACAAAACCGTAATGTTTTAACTGAAATGTTTTAACTGAAAACAGAGAGTTGTCAGGAAACTTTCTCTCTTAGTTTTCTCTGACTGTAAAATATGCTGTTAGTTCAAGGAGTGCAGAACAATGGTTACATTCAGAACTGCACTGAGGAACTCCTCAGTGCTCAAAGCTTAAATACAGTTTTTTTACACACACTTCAATGGTCCGCACCTTGGCTTTTCACAGCCATGCGTTGTTCACGCGCCACTTCTGAGCACTGATTGGCAAAGACTGGTCCAAACAAAGATTCTCCACCAATAGGAGCCATGTGCATGCGCTGCAGTTAATCAAGTCAGATAAGACCATGCAGTTCGGATGTTTTTCTCTCTTTGTCTTTTGTTGGTCTTCTGTCGGTCTCCTTATTTGGGCAAAGAAACTAGTTCTGGCCGGTTCTGTGTCCTGTCTCTATCTCAGTACCATTCAGTGCTGTCCATATCATCCTGTTATGTAAACCATCAGCATGCACACCTTTCTTTTCCCTTTAGTACAGCATAACATAAACATTCAATAATAGTATAAATTGATATGGAAACTTAATATATTGAATATATTGTAAAGGTTGAATAAATGTATTTACAACATCTTAACAAGAGTAAAATGGGGTAACGAGGTATGCTTCTGCTTTTTGCAACATTACATCAATTGTACAAGGGTGTCTCTGTTCCATTAATTCCTAATTCCTGAAAAAAACAAGCGAGTGTTTGTTCTTGTGCACGTGTGCACTCACAAGTCCTCTGAAAGCTGAAGGATTTAAGCTCTGGTTGATGTTGTTGCCCTGCGTTCATGAGGTGTCAAGTGAGGAAATCAAAATACATTTTTATATGTTATGAGATGTTGTATTAGCCCTCCTTGAACCGCAACCTTAACGTGGTGGAGAGGTTCGAGTATCAGAATGAACCTAGGAGCTATGTTGTCGGGGGCTTAATGCCCCTGGTAGGGTCTCCCAAAGCAAACAGGTCCTAGGCGACGGATCAGACAAATAGCGGTTCAA